TAATAATATAAAAAGAGCAGGTGGGGCCAACCATTCACTTTCAAGACGAGCAAGATTGGTTTTTTCAATTTATTTGATCTGTTTTAAATCTGTGCTGATCCACAGTCCAGTTTCAAAGTTCTAAATTTATATTAGGGCTGCTCCCGTTTTTAAAACAGCCTTGTAAAACGTTGATTTGATCTCCCAACACAAACACATTGCATTCTCATGCAGTGATAATGTAGGATTATTTTTTTTGTTGTTTAATTGTTATGTCGTGTCCAACTCTTCATGACCCCATTGACCAGAGCACACCAGGCCCTCCTGTCTTCCATTGCCTCCTGGAGTTTGGTCAAAATACAGTCATATATGTTGTTTACCTACCTACCTACCTACCTACCTACCTACCTACCTACCTACCTACCTACCTACCTACCTACCTACCTACCTACCTACCTACCTACCTACCTACCTACCTACCTACCTACCTACCTACCTACCTACCTACCTACCTACCTACCTACCTACCTACCTACCTACCTACCTACCTACCTACCTACCTACCTACCTACCTACCTACCTACCTACCTACCTACCTACCTACCTACCTACCTACCTACCTACCTACCTACCTACCTACCTACCTACCTACCTACCTACCTACCTACCTACCTACCTACCTACCTACCTACCTACCTACCTACCTACCTACCTACCTACCTACCTACCTACCTACCTACCTACCTACCTACCTACCTACCTACCTACCTACCTACCTACCTACCTACCTACCTACCTACCTACCTACCTACCTACCTACCTACCTACCTACCTACCTACCTACCTACCTACCTACCTACCTACCTACCTACCTACCTACCTACCTACCTACCTACCTACCTACCTACCTACCTACCTACCTACCTACCTACCTACCTACCTACCTACCTACAGTGGTGCTCCGCATAGCGATGATAATCCGTGCAGCAAAAATCGCTGCAAAGCGATTTCGTCACTATGCGTTTTAAAAAAGCCCATAGGAATGCATTAAAACCCCTTCAATGCGTTCCTGTGGGCTGCAAACTCTAATTGCCTTAGAGAGAGAACAGAGGAGTCGACAGCAGATGTCAGAGCCAGTGGAGCCTGCTGACAACACCCTGAGAGCTCTTTAGCTTACTTAGCATGATTACATAGTATGTTATGAGAGAGACAGATAGGATACTAGTTACCTAATCGTAACTAGGATTGGCTAAAATGACCCTTTGATCTTATGCTCTACCTCTAAGCAAAAGGGCAGAATAAGGGGTTATCCCACCTGCTGCCAGCTGCTGCTTCCTGCCAGGAGTGTATGCACTTCACTGGAACAGAATGCAGCTACAAGGGAGCTACAACCTTTAAGCAGAGGTTTCCCACACCTAAATGGGATGAATAAAGCAGGAGATGGCTGAAAAATTATTACTCATTTCCTACATTCCAAAAAGCTTCTAAATTTTATCTGCACTTCAGATAAGAGCAAAACACATGATAAAAGAAAACCCAGAATAAGAAAAGAGATACTTCCTTCCATAACAAGCCCACGTAGTCAAACAAAACATATGCAGACTGTGGAGCCAGTGACTGAAACCTAGAGCCTGCACATTCTTCCATGTGAGAGCTGACTTGGCATTAGAAGAATTAAGTCATTATTGAATCAGAAATATGGACTTCATAAAAGATGGAGATGATTTAAAATATTTTATAAAAAGTGGTCATTGAGGGTGTTGTCATTTTTTATCTTGCCTCCTAACTCCACATGAAGTGATGAAACACAACATACAGCCCAATACGTGCTGTAAGCATAGTTTGATTTTAATTATTCTTTCCGGAAGTTTCTGAAACCTTGACAAGGCATGCATGTAATAAAATTTTAAATCAATCTGTTCTGAATCTTTTCATTTCTCAGTCTGAGGGAACTTAGTGCATGAAATAACTCATATTTCTGAGCCATTTTTCATTTTCAAGTTACTGCAGTATCATTATTTGCCTTAGGAGGTGGTGAGCTCTCTAATGCTGGAGATATTCAAAAGAAAATTAGACTACTACTATCTGTCAGATATACTTTGATTTGGATCCCTGTATTGAGCAGGGGTTTAGATTCAATGGCCATATAGGCCCCTTCCAACTCCATTATTTTAATTTTTGTAAACTGTGGCTCACCACTAAATGGCTGATGACAGATAGATATATAGACAGACAGACAGACAGATAGACAGACAGATAGATAGATAGATAGATAGATAGATAGATAGATAGATAGATAGATAGATAGATAGATAGATAGATAGATAGGAATGCAATTCAGTTTTGTTCAAAGTAATAACGAAAGAGCAACAGCAAGAAGAACTGTCATCAGAGACAAATCAATTTAAGACTGTCTAGCTAACTCACTGCAAGGACAGATCCTGAAACTGAGGCTCCAATACTTTGGCCATCTCATGAGAAGACTCCCTGGAAAAGACCCTGATGTTGGGAAAGAGTGAAGGCAAGAGGAAAAGGGGGCGACAGAGGATGAGATGGTTGGACAGTGTCATTAAACCTACCAACATGAATTTGACCAAACTCCGGGAGGCAGTGGAAGGCAGGAGGGCCTGGCGTGCTCTGGTCCATGGGGTCACAAAGAGTCAGACACGACTTAACAACTAAACAACAAAAGCTAACCAGACAAAGTTCTCCAAAACACTTAGAGCCTTACCTGTCTGACATGCAGAAAGAAGGTGGCAGCTACTCTAGGGAGATACTGTTCAGTAAATTCAGGGCAACCACAGGGAAGTCTTGCATCTTGCTGTTTTCTTGTCCTAAATTGAGGGATAGTGGAATAAGACTCTCGAAAGTCTGTGGCACAAAGTGTACATTGAAGCAGTAAAGCCTATGTAATGGCTGTAAGGGTCCTGTTTAGAAGAATGTGTAGCTTGGATATAACCTGTCACTGTTAAGCCATATTCCTTGACAGCACCACAACATCACTAACCATCAGTAGTGTGCACAGAGAGTGATAGTGTGACAGGTAAATCAGAAAGGTCTCATACTCCCCAGACAACTAGCATTGATTCCATATAGTCTTCTTTCAAACTCACTTTGTTAACAGGCACTGGTCTTAAAGAAGAAAAATAGTTTCTTAATGAAATATACAATGTGGTGTCTCAAAAACTTTGTTTTTAAAATTAAAACACTCTGGCATGCTTATAGCGACCAAGAAGGCATGCAAATATAACAAACACCAGAAATACATCACAAAAATAAAACAGAACTGAACACAATAACAAAAGTATTGTGACAACTCAAAGACTTATTTCATATTTAGATACCGTTTTATATGCAGATATAAAAGTACAAGGATTGGAGACCCACTGCAGATATTGGACGCAAGCCCAAAAAGGAAATGTTGAAGTAGCAATGGGATTTAACATCAGTAATGAGCTCTGAGAGTGCAGACTACAAAAATATTCTGCCATGGGTAGTATAGTAATCTGTCTGGCATAAGTTGTCCTTCAGCTGCAAAAATGCTGAGAAGTAGCTTGCATGGTTTTAATCACCACCTGATTCTGTGGCCAATATATAACTAATTATTTTTCCATAAGATAGCAAAGAAAATGGCTTATTGATATATGTGGTGAGCTAGTAAACTTTCATCTTTATTTAAGCATTTAGCCACCTCTGAAATTTATAGAGTAATTTACTTCTGCTCTTTGCCTCTTCTGTCTCCTACTGCAATTTCCTTTTTTGTGCAACAGTCGCGTTCAGATCAATAACAGAGTATCCTGGGTGGTTGAAGTGTTCTGAAACTGATTTCATCAGATTTGTGTCTATTTATTTTCTCGTATATAGATAGTCCTGTTTGCCCTGTGTAGAATGCAGAGGTCAGCTGCCGATAGTTGCCATACCAAATCTACAGTTTTCAAAGGTAGCTGGATTCCATTTCCCTTTCCTTCTTAGAATACGTAATTCTTTTAGAATGTACATTTTATTGGAGGAAACAAATAGAGCAGAAATTCCACCCATAAAATTATTTCACACTACAACAGCTGATAGAACTGGATAGCAGGGCAGATCCAGCCGTACTTCTATGTGTTTTGAAACATTTCTCAGTTTAAAGCCCTCATGAGCATTAAAGTCAGCAGTGGACAGCCTTCTCTTGGCTCCACTACTTTCACAAGTATGTTTAGTGAGGACTCAAAAGAGCGCTTTTTCTGCGGCTACTCCTGGACTGTGGATCTCCCTTCATCGGAAAGTTTGGCTGGCCACTTCTCTCCTTTCCCTTTGCCAGCGATTGGAAATCTAACTCTTTAGGGAAGAGCCTTGGGGAGTCAGCAGGCAACTGAAGTGGAGGCTATTACATAGTCTTTATGTAATATTTTAAAATATTTGTGTGTTGTAGTTTTAAAATTTAATTAGTATGTTTTTAATTATTTGTGGCTTTAAATATTGGCATATCAGACAGTTAGGCCATTCACCCACCAACTCCCCCATCCTGCCTATAAAATGCAATAGTAAAAAAAAGTAAATAACTAAATAATTACCCATTTGCTGATTTTTCATGGCACTCAGATCTGCTGCCTAAAGTCACTGCCTCACTTTGCCTAAGGGTAGGACCAGCCCTAATATGTGTTTTGAAATATTCTGTTTATTTACACATTTCAGCCTTATGCTGAAATATGCTAACATATAATATATAATACCTTCTCCATGTGATTGTTCCATGTGTGTGCAGGGCACAAATATATGGAAGATAATGTGGTAAACATGTTTTAGATCCATCCCAGAACTTGGAAGTATTACTTTTTAGAGCTGAAACTCAGAGAATTTTCCATTCAGCACGATGTCCAATGACCACTATGTCTATGAGGAGAGAGCAAGTTTTTATAAGGACCAATCAGAAACAGTGTTCATCACTGAAAGAAATAAAAGTAATGAGATTAAAGAAATCCTACTCCTCGACGCAAAGGTTCAGAATATTTTATCTATGCATATGTTTCCGATTGCAGAAAAATATCATAATTGGGCTGAGGAAGAACGGGATAAACCAAACAACAGGAAGAACTGAAAAAAGAAGATACTGTACATCAGTTTCAGGTATGTAACTATTAAAATCTCTTACAATACAACAGAGGAAAGTAATGGAATGATTAGATTCAGTGTATGTTTCTGTGTGGGAACCTATAGCTAAAAATGTAAAGTGCTACAAAGTGAAAATTGTATTTTAATTCTGCAGTTCTACATGCATTTACTTAGAAATAAGCCTAATCCAATTGAACAATACCTGCATTTGAAGGTATAATAGTTAGCTCTCAGGTATCAATTGTAAGCAGGAATTGGATATTGATTTGCATTCTCAGAATCCTGTTTCAAAAAGGAGATGAGTTAGTGCTGATTCTCCCTTATGCGTCTTAGCTCTCAATGGCATCTTTCAGAGAAGAAATAAGGATAATTTACTGCAAGTTATATTATGCTAAAAATTATGACGGATCAGTCATATGCCAGAACATTGTGTTCACTTAATTTAAAATATTTGCTTTGATGGAGTTCCTGCATGGTAGGGGGTTGGACTCGACGGCCCTTGTGGTCTCTTCCAACTCTGTGATTCTATGATTCTATGCTATATTTCAGGTGTGCAGGTGCGTGCGTGTCTCTGTGTGCAAGTACTCAGAAACTGGAGAAGTTAGTTTTTAGACTACAACTCTCCAACTTTCACAGCCAGAATGGCTTAATTATGGGTGTTATAGTCCAGTTTCCTAGCTCTTTGGAAATGTTATTTTCTTCCATTTATTATATATATGCATTCTTATATTTAAACATCTGTAATTATCCTTTTGATTAAGAAATATGATCAGAACAAGTTGCAAAACAGCTGTATTTTGCTTGGTTCTAGCAATTCATGAACACATGCCAACAGATACCCAAAGAACTATAAATACATCTGCGGAAGCAGCTTTTGAATTCATTCTGGAAGAAGGAACTGGATTTTCCTAAGAATGTGCTGAAGTGAGCCAGACTCCTGAAAAATCCATTTGACCAGAGATTACAGTGGGGTGGAAGGGAAGTTAACAGAGAATAGAGTTGTGTATATTGTAGGCAGAGAAGAGAAGCTCCGTCATTCTTTGCTGGGGATACTGCATTGTGCATAGCCTAATTCTGTCATTTTCAATTTGAATTAGGTACACATAACTGGGATGCAGGCTTTTGGCCAAAGGGTACTCTGCTTCCCAAAAACAAAATTAAAATATTTTATGTAAAATGTAATTTTTTGTCATAAAAACCAGCTTCAGTCACAAATGCAATTAAGAATGTGCCGAAATTCCACATCTATAAATCAAAGGAAAAAAAAAGTCACAATGTGTGTCCAGTAGACAAGTAAACATCCTTTACAATCAGGATGGCTTGTTTCAATTCCACTTCACATTTCATCACGTTTCTGCCGATCAAAAATCTTTCTCTTTTGGTGGCTTTGTTTATTTCCTAACATAGCTTCGCTGAAGTGGCTTTTCCTAAATCTTCCTCTTTCATTGTCTAACTTGCCTTTTATTCCTCTGAAAGTCAATCAGATGCCATGTGGTATCTTATCAGGAGAGGTCTTCCAGTTTTATCAGTGTAAACACAATTACATTCTAAGCATTCAATTGTATAATAGCTTCCTTAGTAGGACACCCCTTGCCTTCAGCACAAACCAGATGTTTCTGTGACCAGCACTTAAAGGCATACAGTTCAGACTTTCAAAAGACTTTGTCCTTCTGTTTCTAAACAGCCTGCTATGTGGGAAGGAGAGTTAAACGAGAAGGGGTGGATGTGCTCACCTTTGGCTCTCACCCCTGCTCCACTATTGATTTTGGCCATGTTTGCTGCAAAGAGTCAACATATGTTGCCTCTGGTAGGAAAGTGTTCGCCATAGTCACAGGAACTTTTCTACAACAGTTTGGAGAAAAAAAAAAGTCAGTGGTGTAGCATGGCTTGCCAGCACCGGGGGGCAAGTATTTCAACCCCTAACCTGTGGTTACCCCTCCTCTCTCCATTCCCAATGGGAGGGCCCTCAAGGCACCCTCCTCTTCCTCTATCATCATCCCTCCTTCCCCCAGCTGCTCCTTGCCTGCCTTGCACTGGGCTCAGCCTACTGCGCCTCCAGCTCCTGCTGCTATGCTGCTACTGCCATCTCCTGCAGTGCTTACAGCTCTGCTCTCACTATCAGCCCAGCAGGGAGATGCTGCCGGCCAGGCTCAGCACCAGCTGCACCACCTCCACCAGCCCTAGTGAGAGAGAGGTTACCAGCACCCTCTTCTTGATGGGCTGCACTTGTGCTGGGCTGGGGGCGTCTGGCTCGCCTTGCTTGCTAGACAGCCCCGACAGGCAGGGAGGCAGGGGAGGTCAGCGGCGGGAGGAAGGGAGGGAGGGAGAGAGGAGATGCTGCCGGCCAGGCTCAGCACCAGCTGCACCACCTCCACCAGCCCTAGTGAGAGAGAGGTTACCAGCACCCTCTTCTTGATGGGCTGCACTTGTGCTGGGCTGGGGGCGTCTGGCTCGCCTTGCTTGCTAGACAGCCCCGACAGGCAGGGAGGCAGGGGAGGTCAGCGGCGGGAGGAAGGGAGGAAGGGAGAGGGAGGGAGGATGGATGGATGGACAGATGGATGGAGCCACCCTGGCCAGCCCAACAGCAAAACGGAGCACAGGGGGTGCGAAAGGGTAGCGGTTGTGCCTCTAACAAGGTTGCACCTGGCAGCCCAACAGCAAAACGGAGCACAGGGGGGTGCAAAAGGGTAGCGGTTGTGCCCCTAACAAGGTTGCGCCTGGGATAACCACCTCTCTGCCCCTCCCCCATGCTACACCACTGAAAATAATACAAGGGAAGGTAAAGTTTACTGCCCCCTCTCACAGTTGTCACATTTGGAAGTGGGCTATTTGTCAGAACTGAGGAACTTTAACTACAACCTGCACCCTACTTCCAAAGCCAGCTGGATGCCCAAATTCTAACATGTGGAGTGAGCAAACCTGTCCATTCACTTTCTCCTACATCCAAATTTTGCTGATTTTGGTACAGTCAGACATTAACTTTGATCTGCCTGTGAGTCACACTGTATGCTGGTTTAAGTAAGGGACAGATCTGAAGTTTTAGTCTTCCTATTAGTATTACTGGACATCAATTTGAGAAAGTGTAGTAGATGAACCATCTATATGAGTCAGATCAGTTGCAATCAAAGCAAAGAAAGTTTATTTATTTATTTATTTATTGCATTTATATGCCGTCCATCTAGACATAGTCTACTCTGGGCAACTCACAACATGAAAGATAAAAACAATTTAAAATACACACAGTTTTACATTAAAAAACAAAATGATGTAAAATATAATATCATAAATTTACAGTTTTAACAATTAATTTAAAGCAAACAGTCCCAAGATGGCAAGAATAAAAGAAGAGAAATAAGAAATAAGAATGACTTAATTGACTGAAGGGAAGGCCTGCTTGAATAGCCAAGTTTTCAGCTGGCTTTTGAAAAGTTCACATGGAATAGATCTGTTTGAAGATTTTTTTCCCTTTGTAAATTTTCTTATCTTTCCCAGTGAACTATTGTATGTATCTGATCTTTTCAGGTCGGTTTATATGCCTTCTCTTTAGTGTTTGTCTGAGTAGTCACCCTAAATGTAAAAAACCCTGGTAAACTGAGAGTGGTTTTTGTGAAATCACTTTGCTCTGAGCTCTGTGAATTTGAAGATAAAGACTAAAAATTGAAAACAATGAACTCAGAAACTTTCTAGTGTTGCAGATGAAACCGTTCTCATTTTGCCTCCCATTTTTGTCAGCTAGAGATATGGAAATGGGGAGTAAATACAATATAGGCAGTTGGGATTTTATTTTTGCAAAGTTCAGAAGGTCTTGGGTGCAGTATTTGATTTTATGAAATATTCTGATGGGAGTGGTTGAGATAAATAGTTCTGGGCTGCTTTTCAGGTTTAGTGCAGTGTTTCTGAAGTAATTATTTATTGTATTAATTTAGCTCTTCCAGGGGCATCGTAAATCTCAGAAAGTTCTCTTCAGTATGTTTATCTTTCGTCTGTGCCAAGCCATGTTCCTGCCCTGTCAGGAAACCATTCTGTCTGTATTTGAATTCACTAATTTCTGAGCTTATGCAACATTATCTTTCTCCATATAATTTTAGAAGATGATGACATGTTCCTTCCACTTCAGATTGAGATTTAAAAAAACAAGTTCACGCTATCATCTTTTGTACACTACTTTAAAATGTTTTTGATAAATGTTGATACATTAAAGTCAATATTCCGTCCAGCATTTAGCTTCCTCAGTTACTGCTCTGTTCCCAAGTATCCCTGCAAACACAGCTGTATCTGTTTCTCACTCAGAACTGCTATATCATGTTGGTGTGGACTTTTAGCTAGCCCTGTTACTACATACTATCCAACATGCACACTGAACTTCAGAGGAGTGTTTATGCATACAGTGATACCCCCTACATTTAGATCCAAAATCATCAGGAGATCACAAACACTGTACAAGTCTATTTTTGTTACTTTGTTATCACTTCATTTTCTTCTTGTGTACAATGCATGCCTTGGGACACTGTTGACATACAACACAAAGTCAGTTTTAGAAGAAAAGTCTTTATCTCAAATACTAATATTTCATTATTTCTCCATCCTTGGCACAATTAAGAATAATCTTCATACATATAATCGTTTATTGGGCTTCTTTGTTGAAATATCCAGGATATATATATACATATATAAAAGACATCTTGTGAATAATGTGGCATGCAAGTTAGCACCTTTATGATGAGGCAAAATACACAAGGTCTGATTAAAAGGGGGGAAAAAACCACAATGAGCTCATATCAGCTGTCTTTTCCCATCCCATGACTTATGGAACCAGGGAATATTTAAAAAAAAGAAAAAGATGCCAGCTCTGAGTTCTAAAGATGAATATTATTTACTTATTTAAAATATTTATACCCTTCCTTGTCCCTTAAGAGGAACCAAAGCAGCTTACAATATTAAACAATATTGCCCACTAAGGTGGCAAATTCCAAGCTTCAGAATGTTCACTTGGCTCCATTTCTGTCCTCTAGAAT